ACATGATTATATAAGATTCATTTTCCTCCATTCTTCTTCCACTTTCAAATTCTGCTGGACAACTTCTCGATCGATGTTGCAAAACTATTATACTCATTTTGTTCCAACTTACGTGCTTTAATTATAAGTTTATAACTTTTATTTCATTTCAAATAACTGGACTTATATATAATCTCCAGCATTAGAAATATTAGGCTACCCGTTCGTTATTAGGTCTTTATTCCTCCGATATTAATAAAAACCGATAGTTTCTCTACTTTTTTCGTGTGTATTCTAGGTGAATATATAGAGTGTGCTTACGGCCGTTTATAAATTTACAGTATTGCGCGTAATGTTGGAGATTTTTTTAAAAGGTTTAGTGTGTGTCTTTTCAAAAGACGGAAGTTGTGTTCTCTAAGTGACTCACACAAAATCTGACTGGTCATATTTTTTGTAAATTTAAAAAGTTTTTTTTTTTTACTTTACACGTCAGCGATGTGATTGGGAAGAAAGAAAGAAAAAAACAATTTTTTAGATTTACACAAAGTCTGACAGGTCAAACTTTGTGTAAATCACTTAAAAAGACACAAACTTGTATCCTTTTAAAAGATACTTCTTTTTCCCAACAAAATTGCAAGTGTAATATCTTTTATAAGTTATAATTACCTATATGAAAAAAAAGAAAAACAGAGATGATACACGTAATTTAAAGGGAGTGATCACAATTTATTTGAATTTTTTTTCTCAAAATTAAAAGTTTGTATGAATTTGGAGGGATCCACCGCTCATCTTATCCTCGCTCCACCGCTCGTTGTGCTTGATTTAGATTTTACGGGTTGGTGTTATATAAGTAATAAGTAGGTCTACTTGCCAAGTATATAATTGCTTACTGCTCCACATTCAAAATGTTGCATCAACTACTTTCCAAAAAAACAAAAATGTTGCATCAACTGCTACTTTATATTTATTTGCTTATTTCTCCCCAAGTATTTTGTCTGCTCTCTTTCATCTGCATGCGTCCCAAACATATTGATTGACAAGTTTTGCCATTTCTTGTTAATAAGAACAAAATTCCGATTTAGTTATTGATGGATACAATTATATGAACTTTGGATTATTTTAACCGTTTAAAATTTTCATTTTCCACCAATTCATTGGAAATTCAATTAATCCGAGTCGAACATATAAAATATCCTCTCCCAAGTACTATTCATACATTATTCATCATTAAGAGGATTAAACTTTGAAGCTTAAATTTTATAGAATTAATTTAATATTTTTAGTTATAAAAACTAAATTAACATAGTTGTATCATTGTAAATATTAAAACATAAATTTAATAATAAAAGATAAACATGTTATACAATAAGTAATATTACAAGAGTAGTCATTTGAAAAATATAAATTAATAATAAACATTTGTGAAATTTTTAACATATTTGTATGGTTGTGAGAGGTTCTAAAATAAAAAAGGTTGTAAGTATAACCTTCCTCTATTTGTATACATTTAAAAGTATTTAACGGTACTAAAATAAATGTAACTGTTAGTGTATAAAATATTATTTATATAGCTCTGTCTATATATGAAAAATTTGATCCATATTCTCAATATATTCATTTAAAGACTTGAACTCATATAGTCTTAAAGTTTTTTTAATTTCTTTTTAAAGATTGAATTTACATATGTAGCTATTTATGTTGTCTTGAAGTGTGTATTTGTCTTTTATAATTATTTTCTTATGTCTTTAGGAGCAATGACAGATCTAGGATTTTTTATAATAGAGGATGTAAATAAATATCAAAGTCACAAATATTATTAAAAATAACAAAAAAGGGTTAATTATTACAAATATTTTTGAGGGGGCCTAACTATTATGCCTAATATTATTATTATTATAAAATGAATATCGTTATATATAAGGGGAAAAATCTGTTTATAAATTTTTTCTATAATTTTTACAAATTACACTATGTATTCCCGGAAGTACATAACGTAACCTAGTGTACTTCCGGGAGTACATAATATAGTTCATAAACAAAAAATTTATAAATATAATCCTTCTCTATATATAATACTAAAAAATATCAAAAGTAACTCAAAGAGTGCAGTCCCCAACCCACACCCTTCCCATAGGTCCGCTACTGTCAAGGAACCTTCGTTACAATGCGAATTTTTTTTAAATTTACGTGTCGGACACGTGTCGGACACAGACACGTTTCGATACGTTCGGACACGCGTCTGACACGCGGTTAACATTTGGGGACACGCGGTCAACATTTGGGGACACGCTCGGACACGTTTTTATTTATTTATTTTTTTAATTTTTTAAATCTTAATTTTATATTTTTAACTAAATATAAAAGAAATAATTTATAAATTAATTTTTTTCTGTTATAAAATTTGACATTAAAAATTAACAAACTACGAAAAATTATTTATATTTATGTTATGAAATTTAAATATTTAATTGGTTATATGACTTATTATGGACTCTTATATGTATTAAATATAAATCATATTATATATATTAAAAATCTTATTTAATATCAAAACGTGTCCGAACGTGTTCAAATATGATATTTTTTAAAATTAACGTGTCGGCGTGTCGTGTCATGTCGTGTTCCGTGTCCGTGCATCAAGGAACTAGTCGAATGTTTAATGGTGCATACATAAATAGAGTTGCCAATACAGATCCAGTTGCCCCAACTCAATTTTTCCCGTGCTTAACCCAACAAAAAAAGAGTAGGTGAAACGTGTTGATATGTATTTGCAAATGAGTTGAAAACAATAATTCATCTCATTTTATAGGTTGGTGGATTCACATGTCAACTATATAAATAATAATAAAATATAAAAATAATATTGAATATCAAACAAGTGTTTCAATTTCAAGGATTTTATTCTTCAAATAATGTCATCTAAACTAGTAGATCCAAAGAAAATAAAATTGTTCAATGTAGAAAAGTAAAAGTACTAGAATATCAATTATGCACTAAGACATAGTAAAATAATTTATTTATGTGAACATTGATTGGTTGAGTCAAGAAATTTAGGGTTTAATAAGTGTGAAAAGTGAGGAATCGTAAAATCCAATTCACTTTAGTGAACATAAGATCCAATCCTACGAGTTAATATGTCCCGTCACGTGCTCGACTAGTTTCAACCTATATTTATGCAGGGCAGATTATATGAAATTAATCATTACTACTCAATCGATCAAACTTGACCGGATATAAAGGCATAAAATGGAGTCCATTTTAACATCTGGGGTACACATACACAATCAATATCATTAGCACAATTCTTGAAAATAACACGAAATAAATAAAAAAATTTATGTTGACAATGAGTCCCGTATTTTTAGCGTGTGAAACTTGTTTTATATGATCAATATGGTAAATTGACTGCATTTAGTATAGAAATAAAGTAAAATAATTTTTGGTGGAGGGAAAAAAAAGCCAACCAAATTACGTATAGAGGCAAAAGTAATCTCCTTGTCAGTTCTTAGTTTTTATTTAAATTTGCGTTTTTATAATAAAAAATAAGGTGAATATTACAAATAAAGGCTACTATAATCTTGTAATTAGGTTGAAAAATAAAAAAAATAAAAAAATAAAGGCTACTATAATCTTATAATAAATTAAAATTACAAATAAATCATAATTTCTACCCAAAATGACATTATTTAGGTGAATATTCGATAAATTTTTTTAAGTAATTTTAGAAAAAAACAATCCTATAATAAAATAAAAGATATGTTATTCTACTTACTTTTGTCTATCACTCTCCGATATTATTAAATCAGAATTTCATAATCTAATAGTGTTGAAAAGTAATAGATAAAAATAAGTAAAAAAAGATAGATAGACTAATTTATCTCATAAAATAAAATTAAAATTATGAATTAAAAAAGGAAAAAATATTTTTATTTTTACTGTCAACAAATTTCTACCATATTCATATAAAAAGGAGTGGTTTTATTGGAAGGAGTACGGAGAAAAAAATTAGTGTGAGTCCCTCATTTTTTATTTGAATATGACAATACAAATTTTTTACAGTAAAAATAAAAATATTATGAGAAAAATATTTATCATTTTAAAGGTTTTAATTTTGGGAAAGGATATTGTCACAACTAAGTTGTGTTACTACAAAGTGATTACCAATCAATCTCACAGTTAGATCGATTATGTGGATCCAACGGTTATATTTATTTTCATCTTTGTATGGTCATGATTCCCCATATTTAAAGTGAAGGCATTAAATAAATATGGAAAATCATAACCATACAAAGGTAAAAATAAATATAAAGTATTAAATTTGAGAAATCATGTCCATACAAAGATGGAAATAAATATAACCGTTGGATCAACATAATCGATCTAACGGTGAGACTGATTGGTAATCACTTGGTAGTAACACAACTTAGTTGTCACAATATCCTTCCCCTTTAATTTTATGTCATTTTAGATTTTAATTATTGATTTTTGTCAATCAACAGTTAAGATTTTATTATGAATTACTAATTAATTAATAAATTTTATCCAATAAATCTTAATCGTTGATTGATAAAAATTAATGATTAGAATTTAAAATAACACAAAATTATATAATTTAAAAATATAAATATTTTTCTCAAATATTAAGCCCATAAAAAAAGGGATAGGTTATACTTACTACCTACTTTTCTTACTATCTCTTACTACCAAATCTTAACCGTTGATTTCCGTCAATCTAATGGTTATAATTTATTGTAAATTAATAATTAATTAATAAATATGACCCCATAAATTATAACCGTTAGATTGACGGAAATCAACGGTTAAGATTTGGTAGTAAGAGGTTGTAAGAAAAATAGGTAGTAAGTATAACCTTTCCCATAAAAAAATAGATAAAATTGATAAGTAAGTTACAAGCAAAAGAAAAATCAAAAGTCCATGTGGGAAAGCACAACTCGCCAAAATTTGCGTACCCTCCTCCGTTTGTTGCTGTTATTCTCTCTCTCTCTCTCTCTCTCTCTCTTCCCGTAGCTGGCTGGTCATGGTCCTCATGGAGAATGAGAAAGAGATTATCCAATCAAATGTCCATTGACCCAGAGATCTAGGTTTACTCTTCAAAAGCGGTTGAGAAAAGCTCCCTCTCTATTTTCTAATTCTCTTCCTTCCCTTTCAATCTGTAAGTTTTTTTTTTTTTTTTTTCCTTTTTCTTTTAAAGATCTACAGATTCTTCAAAACATATATTGTTTTTGATCTGCCAAATCATGTCTCACAAAAAGAATACTAGTTATTCTTCAATACCCATTAGATCATATCTAGAATTGCAGCCTCAAGATGATTCCCCAAGGCTATCTTTTGATGAAACCGGGGGTTATTTGGGATCCAAGGTTGTCGTCGACCACGACGACGACAACGACGATGATTTTGAAATCGACATCGATAATTATCCGCTTGTTGTTGTCGGGCATAGTCACGGTTCTGGGGTACCTGGGGCTGTGTTCAATTTGACCACCACGATTATTGGGGCAGGGATTATGGCCCTCCCTGCAACCATGAAAGTTCTTGGAGTGATTGTGGGGATTTTGTTGATAATTCTTATGGGGATTTTGTCAGAAATTAGTGTGGAATTGTTAGTGCGTTTTTCAGTTTTGTATAATGCATCCTCCTATGGGGATGTTGTTCAACATGCTATGGGAAGGCCTGCTAAGATTTTGTCTCAAATCTGTATCATAGTGAATAATGCTGGTGTTTTGGTTGTTTACTTGATAATCATGGGGGATGTTATGTCTGGTTCCGTTCATCATTTGGGGGTTTTTGATCAGTTAATGGGAAATGGGGTGTGGGATCAGAGAAAGCTTGTGGTTTTTGTTGTTATGGTGGTTTTTCTGGCACCTCTTTGTTCTCTGGACAAGATTGATTCATTGAGCTTGACTTCAGCTGCCTCAGTGGCTCTTGCTGTCATATTTGTTGTTGTTGCTTTTACTGTTGCTTTCATTAAGCTTGTGGAAGGACGCATTGATCCTCCGAGGATGGTTCCTGATTTTAGCTCAAAAACGGCCATCTTGGATTTGCTTGTGGTGATTCCCATCATGACCAATGCATATGTTTGCCATTTTAATGTGCAGCCAATATACAATGAGCTTGAAGGGCGGTCGCCTCAGAAGATGAACCGAGTAGGAAGGATGACCACAATTTTGTGCATCCTTGTTTACGCATCAACGGCGCTGTCAGGTTACCTATTATTTGGGAAAGATACAGAGTCTGATGTGCTGACTAATTTTGATAAGGATCTTGGAATTAGGTTTAGCTCAGCCTTAAACTATATTGTCCGGATTGGCTATATCCTGCATTTGATACTTGTTTTCCCTGTTATTCATTTCTCCCTACGGCAAACGGTGAATGACTTAGTGTTTGAAAGATCACCTCCCCTATCAGAAAGTAGGAAGAGATCTCTTGGGTTGACTGTGGTTCTGTTGGTCCTCATATTTATTGGGTCTACCATGATTCCAAACATTTGGACAGCTTTTAAGTTTACTGGGGCGACGACCGCTGTTTCATTGGGTTTTATATTTCCATCTCTTGTTGCATTAAGATCAAGTCATCTGGGGGATTTGAGCCATGGAGAATGGATTTTATCATGGTTAATGTTGGTGTTAGCTGTGACTGTTAGCATAGTAGGAGTCATTGGCAATGTCTATAGCATCCAGAATAAGTCTCAGTGATACTTTGTTTTGGTTGCTTTTTCATAGGAATCAGGTTGTAATTTTAAGTACAAGGCATGGGAAGGTGATTTGTTCATTGGCTCTGCTGCATAGTGACTCAAACAGCAGAAAAATGGGCAATGAGAAGATCCTTCTGTAATGTGGGATAAATATTTTTTCTTTTTGCCCCGGCTATGATAATTAGGATATGAGATGTGCACATAAAGCTTCAAAAGGCCTTAAATTTTGAGGATTGGTGACCGGTTGATTCAGTATGACGATTTTTCTGGCTGATATGTTTGCCACAGTAAATTCAAAAGGCCTTGAAGGGGAGTTTTGACACAACTGTTGGTGCTGTTTTCATGTGACTCGGAGGTCGCAGGGTCGATTTTATGGAATCAGCCGCATGAAGGTAAGATTGCCTACTGTAACCCTTCTTTGGACCTTTCGAATTGCAGGAGCTTTACAGCACTAGCTTGTACTCTCTTATTTTTTTGGGCATGGACATAGCTATGTATACAGTTCTCTTGTTCTTTTATGCCACTTTTATTTTTTTATGTTCATCAATTTTAGAGAAGAATGTTGTTGTAACTTTAGTAACAGATTCCTAAACTGCTTAACAGCCACTTTTCCAAAATTTATATTCATATTCCAGCAGAAAATCTATGTTCTAGTTGGTTTTCGCCTACCAATTTTCTCTTTGAACAGTGAACAGTTAATAATCGAGTAACACTTCATATACTTGAAACATTTGAGCTTATAGGTAGTCTGCATATATATTAAAAAAAAAAACATTGAGCTTAATTTTAATCGCGGTTCCATGGTTCAACTCTGAACCTCTTTCTTCGACATAAGCTGAGTTACATTGTTATTCATTTAAGTTCCAAACCGAGGCTCTTGCTCGTTGGCTTGTTATATGAATGTGTTTTTATGAATCGAGTTTATACTTGACCGAGGGAAATAAAAAACAGGACGACCCTGCATAAAAATACAAGAACAGGATACAGGAGACTAAACACTACGACACCACCTTACATAAGAATGTTCTTCTCGTGCACATTTGTAAATTTTATTAGCGACAGTATCGCATTCGAAGTAGAAATCAAAGAAGAATATGCTTAACATCGGCAAAAATTCGAGCATAAATTTGATCCTCTGTGGATGTCGGTGTCATAAAAAAAACCATAGTTTAATTTCTATTGCTTTTGTTGGATGTTTAATTATGTTTGCTTCCCTGCTTTGTTGTCTAGACTTCTGTCATAAAGCTGCAATATCCTGTATTTCTAATTGTCTTTCCTTAAGCTCTCAAGCAATGCTAAATTTTTCAAATCCATTTTTGCTTGTTTCATCATTATGAAACAAGCATTCCTACCTCAACATGCCCAGGCTAACAACCCACATAGGAATAAAACCAAAAACGTTTTAAACTTTTTACGGTTAGACCTGAGGAGAGCAAAGTGAAAGTTTGGCTAGTCAAGTTATTTATTCATTAGACTCAGATAAAAACCTATACGTGTTATTTCATGACAATAATAACACAGGTTGATCATTAACTCTTGTTCTCCCTTAAACTTGGACTTGGGTAGTGAAACAATGGGACCCTGAACATCTGATCCATCATGGAGCCAAAACTACCCAATTTTGGAAATGTAAGTAATACAAATAGATAAAACTTGTTCTCCCTTAAACTTTGTACAGTACTGGGAGTCTCAATCTGTTCCCAAGGATTCTTGTTCTCACTGAATGAATACTTTTTAAGTCTGGGTAAAATGTAAGTAATATAAATTAAAATTTATTAGAATGAAACACATTTAATTCAAATTATAAAATAGATATAAATAATTAATTTAAGTAAAATTTGAATTGTATTAATTAAAAAATATTTAAAATCATAAAAAGATATACATATGGTTAATTAAAAAATTAGATTGAAAATAAAAAAATAAAATAACATATTTCGTTTTTAATTAAAATATATAAAACGGTTTTACCATTCTTAAAAAAATAAAATTTTTCTTTTTAAAATCTAATAACAGCCTGCTTAAGAATGTATATATCAAAAGTGTTTCTTGTCAATGTTGAGTGTATATGTGGCTGTACGATATTGCAGGTGAGCAAAATATCATCATTTCAAAATATAAACCTTTGATAATCAAACATTTTATAATGTGCTCAACTGAATAGAAAATACGCATAGGTTAGAGGCTAATTCGATGGTGATGGCTCACAAAATCAAGTCACATTAATATTACAAGTTAAAGTAATTCCTTTTCTAAATGATTGACACGGTAAGATTAAGTAATGAGTTCATAATAGTTAGTGCTTCCTTAATCTATCAAAAAAATTCCTTTTCTTCGGCATTTCTAAGTTAAGGTATGTCCCCTTACAGGATTCCTTCGGAGTTGTAAGTTGTGCAAGGCCAAATTGTGAAATTTTACAAGAGTGTTATCTATTTCTGAAAAGTGCAACAAAAAAGCAAAGGAAGCCCCAGAACCAGAATGAAGTGTTAAATACTTGAGGCAAATTTCAGAAAAGATCAGTCATATTTAATACATAATATTGGTATCAAAAGAATAGAATGCCAGGCTCAAATGGTAAGGTACTTGGGTTCGCTTAAGCAAGGACCCGAGTTCGAGACCTTGTGTATGCAGAAAATTCTCGCTGGAAAACTCATCTGCCAATGCTAGGTAACTTACCCAGGTCGGACTGGATATAGTCGGGGCGAAGCCCCGAAAACCAGTGAAGCAATCCAAAAAAAATAAAAATAAAAATAGAATGCCTTGCTTTCAGTTTAACCAAACTCCAATCACAGTATCTATCAATGTTCTACGGAGAGCGTTAATCGATTTTCCAAATACCGTGTTTGAAAAGTCTTGTTGGCTACAGTACTAGTTCATGGCTATTCAAGTACTGTGCTGTACCATTTCCGAAAGGAGCAAAAGATGAATAGATATAATCATGGGTATCGGTCTGCTACCGTTGAATAGTTCAAGTGGGCTAACATGTTTAAGGATCTAAAGCCCAACTGAAAATTTTCGTTTTTCTTACTTTTTCTCTAATGTATGGGATACTCCTTTTTTTAATCTTTTCATTATTAAGTTAATTTGATATATATATATTTTTTTGGTAAGCAAGTTGATTTGATATTAATTATATTTAAACTTTCTCTTTTTTATGAATATTTTAACTACGTTTTAGAGTTGCTTGACATGTTATAAGATGTTTAGGACTCTATTTTTAGGTTGTTTAATTTTGATTATTGTTATTTTTTTTTTTTTTAGAAGTAGGACTCTTTTTATGTATTCCAAATTCGTTTGTTCAATTTCTTTTCTATATATTTTGGTACTAGGTATTTTTAAATCAAGTGATTTTTTTTTAGTAAAAAGCGCCTGTGTGATTTAGTATTTAGTCTCTCTGCTTTGCTTTTTATTATATGTTCATGTTCTTTAGGTTTAATCATATGTTCATTTCTTCATGGGCAGAAAATATATTTAGTTTGGTTGCAAGAAGTATATAATTTGAATCCCAAGGACTTGAGTTTTATGCATTGTATTATGTCTTATGGTGTGATAAAACATATTACAGACTATATTTGATACTATTTTGGCAAACATTTCTCGGAATTCTCGATGATTTATCCCAATCATCAAAAGACTATTTTACTTCATTTTGCTAGAAGACCCTTGAGAAACACCATTCTCGTCCGAACACTAACATATTTAAAACTAGGGGAGAAAAGATGCATCATGTAACAATATGATGTGTATTTGCTAGAAGTGGTGACTTTAGAATCTGAGAGGGTGGCACTTTACTAGCAGCTGCGCTCTTTTTGCTTTTGCAATATCAGGGATTGAACAGTTATTTTTGTTCGATATTTTTAAAAGACTAGTACCTCCTTCCATATCATGCTTCCATTTAATTTGTTTTAATTTTTTACTAGGCAATAAATATAATGGACATAACAATGATTGTCGACCGCAGCAACAAGAGTATCATCAATTTTTTCTTTTTTCTTTTTGGATCTCTATCTCCGGTAATTCCATAGGTTCTTTATGGACTAATCCGGAGTTCGAAGCAGGTTCATGATTAAGACTTTAAACTATTTTAAAGATATGCTCTTATCTCCACCTACTCAGCTTTTATGCACCAACTAAGTTACCATAATTTGATAGTATCAACAAAAGTTTTAGAACTAAAAGAACCATGAGATGAGGAAGACAACGACAAAGATTGAGGCTTGGAAATTCAACTTTTTATAAATCAGAAGTCATTCAGAGAGGGGAGAGAAACATATAAAAAGAAGGGAAAAGTTCATCAATGTCCGTATGATTTACTCCATTTTCACCTATGCTCTTGTGGTTGTGGTTTGCAAAAGGATATATGTTTTTATCAGATATGTCCATGTAGTTTTTTACTTTTTACAAACTATAAGGACATATGTGATAAAAAAAAACCATAGGGGCATTGATGATTCTAAAACAAACCACAACAGCTTTGGTGAAACCCCCCAAAAAAAAACTACATCCATTGTTAATTTGTAGTACTTCACAGGATCTTGTTTTGGGCTAATAGGAATGTTAAAGTTTATTTTTCATCTGACGAGAACTTGGAATCACAAGGAATTGGCGAGAAAATGCACTTGTGAGATAGGAGTCAAAATTCTCATATGCATTTGAACCCTTAAGCTAGGGGTAATGGTTACCTAAAACCTTCCCTGTAGTGGTAATATTGCCAACTGCTTCGGTAGATTTCTATTTGATAATTTGCCAGGTTCAATTAGTTGAAGCATTGGTCACTTCAAAGTTCAAAATGAGCAACTTTCTACCTATGGATATGCCAAAAATGGATCAAAATTTTGATGCGGATGAAATTATGCTGCATGCCCATGAGATACAATTTTACTGTATTCCAATTAGTGAAAAACCAGGGGAATATTATACGGAAAAAACTTGGGGAACAATGTAAAACATTACCAGTCATTTCTAACTAAAATATAGCATCATGGTATGACATATACAAACCGCAATTTAAATATTGGAAAGTTCATTAATCTACATCCAAGAATTCTGGATCACATTCTGAGAGTCACAAATAGTAACCAAAAATAGGGAGTTTCTTTGTGCTCTTATTGAAGAATGGCTCCAGAAATTCGATATATCTTGTATCTAGCAGATAATTTTGACCACTCTTAGTGATTTGAAGTCTGAGACAAACGAAATGAACCCCCAGCATAGAGCATTTGATATACTGGTCGTATTCTAATTGTTAAAATTATACTAAAGATGGTACCAATCCCACATACACCAGCCAAAGCAAGAAAAGTGAGCCTGAAGCAAAGTGGACCATAGCAAGTGGAGTTTCCTTGCTTTGCAGCTTCTGTATCATACACACTGCCAGCAAGGAAAGCAGAGAAAAGAAGGGCACCAATTGGATTGCCTAGCATCATGAAGCTACTAATAACACCAAAGTGCTTCAAACCAAAAAGTTCAGAAACAGTTGGAACCATTATAGAATATTGAACCCCATAGCATATCCCAAGCAAAGCCGTTGCAGCATAAAGAGTTCCATCAAGAGCTGAAGCATAAAGGAAAAATGCTATGATCATAATTATTTGTGTACATGTCATCCAAAATGTTCTAGGTAGTGTTTTCGACCTGTCATGATGATTACCACATCAATATATACCAAAACGAAGTACAAAATAATCACAATTCACAACTACCATGTCATACAAGATTAAAGCAATGTTAGAAACTGCATAAAACTGTTCAATGATAGGTAAAAGATATTCATATTTTGTTTAGTCTAAGACTATTTGTTATGTACCTGACAAAGGCCCACATTCTAGAATGTCCAGCTAAGGCTAACAGCTAAGAGAGAATTAAGAAAATATTCTGTAATTATATTAATCCTACTACGGCAGCAATAGATCAACAATTGAACCCCCAATACACCTAAGAGGCCCAGAAGTCCACTCCTGCCAAGTAACCCATCTATAAATAAGGGGTTAAGCCAATAAGGTACGCATACTCTAAACCCTCTATCTTAACTTGTCACTGTGCACACACCCCACACCTTGACTATGTCATTTGTATTATTGTGTATAGTAATCCGCTGATCTTTAGGGTACCTCCCCTATAGGTACCTGAGAGAGGACAAACAGATCCTATATTAACATATCATTCTCTGATTGGACATCTCGATCTATCACATCATAACACTATTTAAATAAAATACCTTACAAAGTGTTCAGAAACAGCACCAGCACCAAGACGACCCATAAAATTGCAAAAGCTGAAGACTGAAAGCAATATGGTTGTATCTTCTACACCCAAAGCAACTCCAATTTGAGCCAAATTATTGAGAACTGTTACACCTGATCCAACCCCTAGAAAATAAGCAAACCAAAGAAGCCAGAAATCAGCTTTGATTACAGCTTCTTGGAACTTGAAATCATCTCCTCTTTTAGGTCTCCTTTTCTTCCTTACTGCTCCCTCCCCCTCTGCAATAAGTGTCTCTACATCTGAAGCATCCTCACTTTCAAGATATGCAGCTGATGAAGATGGTGGCAGCAATGGACCTGTTTGGGTTGAAACATCATCACCTGAAACCAATTGTTCTGAAGAACCAACATGTGGAACATTGTTCTCTGGCTTGGCAGGAAACAGTGTCATTTTGACAGGAATTGCAAGGGGAGTCATCAGAAGTAAAATCATTATGGCCACTAAGATGTAGGAAACAGCATCACTTATAGAAACCAAGTCGCTTGCTATTGTGGTCATAACAAGATAGGTGGCAAGTAAAACACTTGCAGCTTGGGCAAAAATAAAATGAACATGCACTGAAGAGTCTTCCCCAGAAGGAGGAGTACAAGGTCGAATGAAGTACATCATAATTAAACATATAATAGAAATTCCAATTGCTAGGAGCAACAATAGCTTAGAAGCAGATCCTTTCAACAACAAAATATATATTAATGTATATACCGCAGCACTAATCCCCACATAACCTTTAAGAATGCCAGAGATGGTACCTCTACTGAGAGGAAAGTTCCTCATGTTGGTAACAAGCACAGCTGTGCCAAACCATGCACCGCTATTAGTGGCAACACAAAGTGCGAGCCATAACTGCAAAGTCATGAGAATAAAAGAGATTAGAAACTCATGCATGAAAGAAAAGAAGCATGCATATGTCAGTATGACAATCTGGAACTAATGAAAAGTAAAACACATAAATGGGTCCATTAAATAGGAGAGAGATAAATAAAACAATGAACAAAAGATGAATTGGAGATTCAATTATGTTGGATATATATAAAATCATTAATGTAGCCTCACCTAACCGCTTAAGCTTTTGGATTGTATAGATTCTTTTGTATGGTATCAGAGCCTCGGTGTCATGAGTTCGATCTTCACTGCTTCATTTAGTTAATAATTAAGTAAATCTTGTGAAATTTTTTAATACAGTTAAGTGGACTTGTGCGTTGTCCACTCTTTAAGTCTAATGACTCTCGTAAGAGAGGCATGTTAGAAATATATAAAACATTAATATAACCTCACCTAACTGTTTAAGCTTTGGATTGAATTGGTTCTTTACAAATTCAATTATAGGAAACTAAGCAGTGATTCATTTGGCAAAACAAAACAAATTAAAAAAAAAAAAAAAAAAAGCAGGTGATTTACCAGCACATAGGGCAAGCCAGAAACAGTTTGGCTAACAGCAAGCCAGATAACCCCATAACCAAAGAAACAAAGGACAACACCAACAAGAAGCAAAGCCCAAGGAGGGAACTTGTTGCAGGCAATACCAGGAAGCAGACCCACGTTTTCTCCAACATCATTGGCCACACCCAGAATAGTCACCTGTTGCTGGTTGAGACCCAATACGGATTTGAGTGCAGATGAGTAAAGAGGGAAGTTGTAAGGATTGCCAGCAGCTATTTGTATCCAAACTGCAGCTGCAAGACCCACCCATGGAGGTCTGCTACCAGCTTTCAGAACCAACTTCGGCATTTTTGTTATCAAAGTTTTGTTTTTTTTTGGCTTAATAGCCCAAGGGAGATATGTTGGGTAGGACAGAAGCTATAACTAATTGTTGGGTAGGATTTGAAAATGTGAAATAATGTCTAAGCCTTCAATTGAAGGTGAGAGAGTTTGGAGTGTGATATTACTACTAGTGTGATCAGAATTAGACAAGAGTGTTGTTACCCTGCTTTTTGAAAACAAACGAAGAGAGTGTTGAGTGGAAGACCCCTCAAAAGAAGAAGAGCTCCCATTGCCACAGAAATACAAGTGACATTGATGGTATAACTGTGAAGTAAAATTCCAAGTTTATCTCAGGTGTTTTGCTTTTTCCATTGTAGTTCTTCCCTGTACGACGGTATCATGCCTTTCAGACACATGTTCATTCATCTGTCGGTATTACCAAACCGTCCAAACCAAACACTGAGTTAGACCAAAATATACTCGCGTGCAGGTATATTTTCATTCATCTCTCACGTGTTTTGAGTTTTTTTTTTTCCCCCTCTGGATAAGTTAGAACAAAGTCCAAATAAATTGTTACAAAACTTTTTATAATAATTTTTTTTGTTACAACGAAAAAAAAAGTCAAAAATTAAAAGCTATTAGAAGGAGGTTTTTTAAGTTATATTATTTTTTTTTTGGTAAAAAATAGCTTTTAATTAACTTATGTAATTATTAAATAACTTTTAATTTTATTTTTAAAGAATTTTTTTAATTTTTTAAAAAAAGGTCAGACCTTAAATGTTTTTGTCCTCTTTCTTCTCGGACGATACCAACTATTTTTGTGTTTACGGTAAAGCTATTGCAAGGCACAGCCTAAAGTTAGCCCAAAACAACGGGCTTTTTGATCCTTATGCCCCTTAATTAATAATTAAATATCAAATTGCCCCTCATTCAAAACTATTTCGAAAATTTACCCTCCCCAACAAACATAACACCAATCTGCCCCTGTTTGACCGTTGACCACGAAGCCTACCCGGGTACACCATTACCTACCCGGGTAAATTTTGAAACTTTTTATCTACCCGAGTATGTAGGGGTGTACCCGGGTAGAGTTCTTGAATCTGGAAAAATGTTTGAATTATTTACCCGGGTAAGGAGCAGTGTACCCGGGTAAATCGCGTCCAGAAACCCCAATATGTATGGGTTTCGGCCATTGTTGCGAGGTATAGAGTTTTTGAAACCCCAAATCTTTCTCTCTTACCCTCTCTAATCCGAAACATCACACATATTTCATCTCATCATTTCAGAAAGCTGAATCTTGGTGGGACATTGAGATTACATCTCCACACTCCCATTTTGTGCTAAAAAATCCGAACCAACCTCCAAACCCAAAACCTAGATCTAATATTTGTGTGAAAGATGAGTTCAAGTCCAAACATGGTTCCTATAGTTATTTACTACAATGGGAGGCATTTTGAAGGTCCGAACGGTGTCCGATTTGAAGGAAAAACAAAAACGATGAAAATCAAAGTGGGCACTACATGCAATGAACTGAAGGAGAGAATTCTTCAAAAAATGGGGTCAGAAGGCATACATTCCATCCACCGCATGATAGCCAGGTTAGAGACTGTAGTGGATATGGATACAATATACTACATTGGAAACGATATAAATGATGATGAAGATGTGGAGTTCGTAACATATGCGTTTGTTGAATGGAAAGTATTAAAATATATTGAGATATATGTTGAAGTTGATGTTGGACAATCTTCATCTTTACCGGTGCATACAACCACTACTGCACACTGTACCGGTCAAGAAGATACAGTTGTACGATCTTCTGCACCTCCTCAGGTAGCATTGGATGAGGATGAAGACGAGGACTATGTGGACAGCGAAGATGAGGGAGAACCTGAAAGTGCTATTCCAGAAGGTGATTCGTCAGACACTGACGTGGACGGTAATTTTGAGGCTGACATGAGCGCCGTAAGTCTCGGTTGTTTACCCGGGTACACTGCTCCTTACCCGGGTAAATAATTCAAACATTTTCCCAGATTCAAGAACTCTACCCGGGTACACCCCTACATACTCGGGTAGATAAAAAGTTTCAAAATTTACCCGGGTAGGTAATGGTGTACCCGGGTAGGCTTCGTGGTCAACGGTCAAACAGGGGCAGATTGGTGTTATGTTTGTTGGGGAGGGTAAATTTTCGAAATAGTTTTGAATGAGGGGCAATTTGGTAATTAATTATTAATTAAGGGGCATAAGGGTCAAAAAGCCCAAAACAACGACTTGCATGCATAATTGCATATGTTTGGGAAAAATTACTTTAACGTTATTGGAGAGTAATTTTTTTTCCTACAATTTTTGGGCTTTTTGTTTTTTTTATAAGTGAGTGAGGCCTATCACATTATTGTGTTTATGATAGATGAGAAGATGTCTATGTAACATGAGATTAATAAAGTTCATATATATATATATATATATATATATATATATAGTTTTATTAATGTTATGTTACATAACTTAAGTTTTGTTTTCAACACACACAATAAAAGGGAGAGAGAAAGTATAATGATAAAAGAGAAAGAAAAACATGTGGACCTCACCTCTTTAATGTGTGTGTAGGAAAGTGAAGTTGTGTTATGTTACATGATAAACATAAAACCTATATATATATATATATATATATATATATATATATATATATATATATATATATATATATATATATATATATATATATATATACGGGCTTAACGTTTCTTAAGTCACATGAGATAATTTTATCTCTAGTTATTAAATTATAACCATACAAAGATGGATCAATGATAATAAAGGAAGAGAAAGAAAAAGAGAATCATAACTATTCAAAGATGAATCAATTAATATAAGAAAATAAATAAACAAAACTACATAATTTTTGGGTGGCCAGAGATAAACTTATCTCAAGTAGCCGGAGAAATATTTTTTCCTTTATATATATGACTTATCGTTTCTCCGGCTACTAAATCATAACCATATAAAAATGAATCAATGGTGATAAAAGAAGAGAGAGAAAAATGAATCATAACCATTTAAAAGTGAATCAATTAATATAAAAAAATATTTGAATAAAATGACGTAGTTTTTGATTAGACTAGATAAATATATCTCAAGTTGTTTGAAAAATATTTTATATATATATATATTCAACCCATGAGATTTCCATCAGTAAAGGTTGGAATGAAATCTCATCTATTTGGTCTTTGCGTCTATATATATTCATGGGAAGCATCTTGTGACAACCAAGTTGTGTTACTATCAAGTGACTATCAATCAATCTTACCGTTAGATCGATTATATTGATCCAACGGTTATATTTATTTCCATCTTTGTATGGTCATGATTCCCCAAATTTAATATTTTATATTTATTTTCACCTTTGTATGGTTATGATTTCTCATATTTAATGCTTTCACTTTAAATATGGAGAATCATGACCATATAAAGATGAAAATAAATATAACCGTTGGATCAACATAATCAATTTAACGGTGAGATTGATTGGTAATCACTTGGTAGTAACACAACTTGATTGTCACAATATCCTCTCCTAAAATAATTATCACAAACTGCTATGAATTTATAATTGAAGACAAGCATTACTGCATTATCAATTGAATTTATCTGGTGTGATGGGGTTGGGAAGTTAACTGAGCCCAGATTCCCTCCACCTAGACTCGCGTGCAAGTCTATTTTGGTTCAAAATAGACGAGGAGTTAGGATTTGAGAACTTGGAGGTGGGGTTGAGTTCCACATTTATAATTTTGTCTAATAGATGTGAGGCAATCCAACAAATCCAACTATAATAGCAAGTCAACTACTAAAATTAGAAATAATTAAGACTCTATGGTGTTAACAATATAGAAGTGGATGGAGGACTCAACGAAAAAAAATGCATTTAAATGAATCATGCATGTTTTTCACCGTGTTTCTGAAGCATATAATGATATAACTATTGATATATTGTCACGCATTGCATTTAACATTGCTTATAAATAATTAGTTATTTTAAGTGTAGCAAATGCATATCATATTCCATATCACAATTCCACACATTATATTATGAATAAATTCTCCGGAAGTATGTTGTTTTTGGTGCGGAATTTTTTTATATAATTTTAACTTGTTTTGGACTTATACTAATTTTAATGATGATAATTATTTTCTCCGACCCAAAACGAGAACCAAGTAGGATAATATGGGCAGCAAAACTCTCTTACCATATTTTAATAAGGTTTAAGGATTTCTCCGTTCAATTAATATAAATTATCTTCGGTGAACTCATAACGACGTTGTTTTGGAGCGAAAATCGTTTTTGTAATTTTAATATATTGCAAGATTATATTAATCTTTTTTATTATAATTATTTTAATCTTATAATCCCAAAACAACGTCGTTTTGAGTTCACTAGAGAATTTTATCTCTAATGACTGAAGAAATACTTTTTCCTTTAACATATTATTTTAAAGGTTATATTTATCTCATTTCACACGAGAGAAAGAAGCCAAGTTCCTACACACATAAAATAGAGGTTAGTTCTACCTGTAATTCCTTCTCTCTTCTTGTCTATGGATCTCACTTGTGTTATTGTCTCCGTTACATTAAATAATTCTTCTCATGTAGCATGAAAAAATAATTTCCCTTTTTTTAATTCATCCATTCATACTCCGTTTGTGTATGAGTATACATACGGATTATTTTAACATGTATTGCACCGCCAACAAGAGTATATTTTCCGTATGCGATGATGGGCATCACAATAGCGGTACAATAATAGTATATGATTTATCCTATAAATTTAGGGGGTGTATTCTATTAGAATTTTTTTAAAAAAAATTGAGATAAAAAATCTTATAAATTTTAAAAGACTATTTAGAATTGAAGAGACTTTAAAGACTTTTTCAAAAGACTTTTTTTACAATCAAAATTTCATAAGATTGGATTTTAAAGAATTTTAATAGATTTATAAGATTTTAAAGGACAATATGGATTTACAAGATTTTAAAAAATCATATGGATTTTTAACAAACATTCAAAGTACAAGAGTCAATAAAAAAAATAACAAAGAAATGTAATTATATTAATAAAAAAATAAAACCTAATATAATTTTCTCAATCAGTAAAATTCATGATAAAATTTCGTTGAAATTTTTTGCAATTCATCTTGTAAACCTTGAGATTTCTAACCATATATCATATATCATATGCATGTTTTCATTGAGTATTCTAAGAAAATTAGAATCTTAATTTTTGGATTTTATTACAGTAAAATTTAGAAAATTTATTAAGTTATTTTCGATCAATACATTGAAAT